AGCGGTTAAGGTATTGGAGTTCTTATGTCTTTTTTTTTACTTTGGTGCTCCACTTGTCACACAAGGCTTTTTTTACATAGGGATAAAACGTTTATAAGAGTGAAGATTATAGAAAGGAATTCAACAAACATTAGAGTTTGGAGTAAAGGTGAAGCTAATGTTCTATGGAGGCTGGCTATAATTTTTCATAAGATATGAGATATTTTTGAAACTACAACCGATAAAATCCGCCATTGCTATCAGGAGGCTAATATTGAAGTAGATTGTCTTGCAAAAGAAGTAGCATATCAATCTTTGTTGGTGATTACTTCCTTCCAATGACTTTGTCAGTATCTTGTAATTTATTTTTTGTTAATGGAAATTCTTTGGTAATGATAAAAAATAAAAAAACTATAAAAAGGTTTTATAGAAGGATCAATCCCGAACTTAGAACTCCACCTAGTAAAGAAGGAAAAGGTCTACATAAAGTGTCAACTGTATTTTATTGAAAGACGTACATTAAAAATCCATTAGAAAAATGTTGTTCCGATACTAGAAAACCTTCAAGTTAATCATTTTGACCCCAAGATGTGTGGATATTGTAAAAGGAAAATATATATTGTCTACCAGGTTAATGTGGAAGGGATACGTTGTAATTCATATATATAAAAAGGGTAAGTATAATATCTTGTATTTTGTGGTAAATTGAAATATACTATAGATGTTTGTGATTTATTTATATTCTTGTATATGCATTTGTTTTTATAAAACAAGCTTCTATACTCATATTAATTAATGGATATTGATTATCTTTTGAGAAACCTGAGACACTTTAAATGATATTAGAGCTAGATTCATCTTCACTGTCTCCAATAAGTTCAAGTTTGTTAATCTGTTATTCTTCGATCCTATCCCGTTCTATTGAGTTGTGAAACTATCATATCTTTGTTCCTTCTCTTTTCCAGCTGAAGAGGACTGGCTGCATCTGGTTTATTGGCGCTAACAAGTTGCCACTTGAATATTGTCCTTGTCCTTGTTCTTGTTGATGGGCTTTCACCGCATCTGGTTTCTTGGCGCTGCGACGTTGCCACTGGAACCTTCGGTATTTGGGTCATGGCAATGGGGAGAGCTTATCCAAGAGAAGTTGAATCTTTGAAAGCTTAAGAACAATTGCTGTTGCTTATGGAGTTTGGCACACTGTTGCCATAGTGGCACAGTCTAGTGCGATTATAAATTTTAGAAAACTAGGAGCAATTGGCACAGTCTAGTGCGATTATAAATTTTAGAAAACTAGGAGCAATTTTTCGCGACTGAAAATCCTGGATTTAGACCCTTTTACTTGTAGAAAGATTTCCGGAAAACTTTCATCTCATGTTTCCTGCATGCAAGTCCCTTCCTCTATTGCCTGAAGTATCGGTACAATCTTTCCTCCCTAAAGTTTCTCCTCAATAATCCTCGCGGCCACTCAAATTCATCCAAGCTTTCTCTCTCTAGAATATCTTGTGAATTGCTGTTTTTTGAAGTCCTACACCTAACACTTCGAAGAGTACTATCTCCAAGTAGCTTGTAGGGCTCTGATTCATTGCTTTTGTGAACTCAGCCGACAACCATCCACCATTACTACGTGACTGTGTCATTTTTGAGAAGTATTGTTGAATTTGGAACCCGCCACTAAATCCACCTTGACTGTGTCATTTTTGAGAAGTATTGTTGAATTTGGAACCCGCCACTAAATCCACCTTGACTGTGTCATTTTTGAGAAGTATTGTTGAATTTGGAACCCGCCACTAAATCCACCTTTGAAAGATGACCTTTGAAAACGGCCAATCTGCTACATCTAAAAAATTTCCCCTCTACTTGTTTTTTTCTTTCGATTTTGATCTCAAGGTCTAAATCTGTCAAAAATCTCACTGAGCCACTCTGATTTGATATTATTATTGACCCTCTAAAACTCGACCCGAAAACGACCTTCTGAAAATTCATAATAATAATAATAATAAACTGCAAAAAATTGTACTTTTCTCTCTCTTCTCGATTTGCTTGGGTCATTAATTTTAACTTTTAGAGAGAGAAGGAATCCGTCAACTTTGCCAACTGGTTTTGTTTGTAGACTATTAAAAATAGTAGGTATTTTGAATTCATCTTCACGTTGTCTATTTTTATTTGTATGATCGATTTTTTTGTTTTGTTAGTCGATCATGTATGTCTGTCAATAAATTGCTAAATCGGTTTCGGATATACACTGAATTTTGTTGGCTCTTCTCTGGAGAAAATCTGAAGCTTTTGTTTGTTACTCAAAGTTCTATTTGAGCTTTTGATTTCTAAGGCTTGTTGAGCATGAGCCTACCCTTTTATATTTATCATATGTGCTTATTGATAAGGCAATTTGAGTATGACAACAATTGCTTTTACTAGTCACACTATGCATTAATTACTTATTTGCACAACTAGTATTCAAACTCCAGCTACTTTCTTTCTTAGCATCTTGAATTCGAGGGGATTGTGAAATAATAATATGTATTGTCTACCAAGTTAATATGAAAGTTGTATATTGTAATCAACATATATGGGAAGCGTAGGTACAATATCTTGTATTTTGTGGTAAGTCTGGGTATAGTATAGGTGTTTGTGATTTATGATATATTTCTATTATTGTCTTCTGTGTTTGTCTATATAAAGCAGGCTTATATACTCATATTGATTAATGGACACTAAGTTTTTCCTGAGAAACTTGATACTTCACACATACGAAGAGAAAAAAAGGATTTCAATTTTTATTTATTAAGGACTCGTTTTTATGCAGCCAAGCCCGTATATGTAAAAATGTGGGCCTCTTAATAATCTCTATCATGGAGATCATAAATATGAATAAATAAATAAATTTTACAAACTAAAAATAATAATTCTAGTAATAAAACATTTTGTACTATTAGTGTTCATTGTTTTTAGATAGAACACCTACTTGCATCCATCTTTAAGATGGATGCTTTACACTTCTTGGACCCCATATGTGGAAATGTTGTCCTGCCAGCATG